TTATTATTTTATTTAAAAAATACTAAATACAATTAAATTTTCCAGGCAAATTTGCCTGGAATACAGTTTAAGGGATACAAAATGATAAAAATATTATGGCAAGTATTTCAACCAAACCTGCATATAATGATGAACGTGATCAAAATGGATCGTTTATGCAAGGAATTTTCTGGGCGTATCGAAGTGCAGTTGTTGAGTTTGCAGTAGGAAAGGATGCATTAATTATCAATGCAACATATAAAACCAATAGGTTTTTATTTTATTTTATTTATTTATTTATTTATTTAATTGTAGAGATGCTAAGCTGTTGAATATTAACCTCTTTGATCTATTATTATTAATTGTCTTGAATGATCATGAAATCGGATGGTGAAATTTGAATCTATTTTATATACGATTTTAAATTTGTTTATTTTTTTGTCAGCTTTTTTTTTATAGCTAAGTTAGAATTTAGACAAGAGTTATTAAGAAAAAGAGTATAGGTAGATTTTGTGGAGATTATATTTTTAAATTGAGATCTCAAATTTCACCATCATCTGATTTCACAATTATTTGTGACATTAATTAATTAATTGTTAAAAAAGTAGCATAATTTCTTTTGTTATAATGCTGAAACGTTTGTTTAAATACTGTATATTTGTCAGAATGAACGATTTAAATAATATATAGTTAGCTATTTAACATTGAAGATAGAATGGCGGTTTACTGAAAAGTAATAATAAAAGATATTTCTTGGATGAGAAAGAAATAGGATAACTTAATATAACAACGGGTCAGAGTGGTCATTATCAACATTTCTATATTAAAGAATGTATTTAGATTAAAATTATTAATTATATTAATAATTTTATCTAGATAATTAAAAATTCTCACAATAGTACTATTTAGAGCATCTTTATCTTAGTTTTGTATAGATATTTATTCATCTATTTATATAATTAATTTTTTTTTTTTTAACGACAGATTTTCAATGCCATTGATAGTTATTTGCAGCATTGATCGATTTGGATTAACATATCATTTAGCTTTCGCACTTGTTTATTCTGAAACAAAGGATTTTTATAGTTGGGCATTACAAGAGTTACATAAAGTGCTAACCATTTTGACAAGCAATTCGCATGTAGCAACTATTATTACTGATTGAGAGTTGGGCCTTATGGCTGTGATATCCAATATTTTTCCTAATACAAAACATCAGCTATGCAAGTGGCATTTTTTCAAAAACATTTGAAATAAGCTTAAGGGTATTAACATTGACGAATTCATTCAAGCAGTTCAAAAACTTGTGTATAACAGTCTTTCAGAAGATCAGATAGAAAAAGAAATTACAGAATTATGGGTATAGTTTCTAAGTACAAAAAAATATATGTGCAATACGTGGATGCCATATAAAAAAAGTTGGCTTGCACTATATACGAAAAGAAACATAAATCTTGACATAAAATTCAAGCCAGCGCGTTAAAAGTTTACATAACAAATTGAAAGGTGTTGAAAGACGTGTTGTTCCAATTGATAGGTAGGAATAAAAATTGTTAGTCAATTAATTAAGTGACTAATTTTTAGCAAATCATTAGTTAATTAGTCAATTAATTAATTAACTAGTTGGCGCAACTTACTCTTATTATAGTGAAGTCCCCGGGCTAAGAAAAAAATCTTCACTATAATTTATATTGAGAGAATATTATATGCTATATGTACTTCACTATATTAAGTTGAAGTTTAATAAGTTCGTAATTCAAATTCTTCACTATATCGAATTTTCACTGTAACATAAGTTCACTATAATGAGAGCAATTGTATATTATATTAACTAACATAACCATATTTTTTAAATTATATATTATGTATTATTTAGTATCTGTACTTTTTTTTTACTATAATTAAGATTTTAACCAGTTTCGATTCTTATTATTAATAGGTTGTTCACAATAATTTGGCAACAGCATCGAGAACACACTCAAAAGTTTGCATATGAAACATTTTTGCATCAGAATAGGCACACACAAGACGATAAAGATATAGGTCTAGAAAAGTTACATTCAGTGTGCTCACGATTTGCTTTTGAAAAATATATAAAGCAACAAAGAGATCTTGTAAAGTCTGGAGAATATGGAGTTCTTAAGCATGATGATGGTATATACGAGGTAGTGCAAATTGATGATCAGGTAATGAAAACATATGCGGTACAAATTGAAACATCAAGTACGTGCACATGTTTGCATCCACAGCATACCAGAACTCCATGTCAACATATAATTATAGTATATCTTCTGTATATACGTACTTGTGTGCCACAAAGTGAGGTTCATGAACGTTGGCATGTGTTAGGCACTCCAAAAAATGAACATGTTCAAGATTCTGTTCCCCAGCTTGCTATGCAGATTTTTCAAGAGTTGCCGCAGTGTCACCATAATGATTTATTAAACCTTATGCAAAATGCTTCAAACCATATTTTAAAGGATGGTAAAATACCAAAACTTCAAAGTGGCTTGAATACTTTACAGCAGAATATTTTTGAAATGATTAACATTGGCAACATTACAAATTATGAGGAAATTAAAATGATTGAGGTCAAGCATAAGCGTGGTCGTCCTTCCAGTAATCGGCGTATTCCTGGTGCTAATGAAATTAAGTTTAAAAAAACTAAAGTCGATAAAAAATTAAATAAAAATGATACATTGTTATATTTGTCTGGTTTAGAACTTGATCTACGCATTCCTCAAAATGCAGTATTACAGTTATGTACGTACGTATTTAAACTGCCCTTCTTAATAAGTATAATAAATATATATTGAATATAGCTAAAATTAGTTATAAGTTTTTGCTTTTTATAGCTAGAATAAGTTTTTTTTGTCTAAAATTATTTTATTAATTATCTTCTGTCCAGTTCCGTCCATGTAACTAAACTTTTTTAGCATACTGGTATTTTTAAATTAAATGCGTTAAAGTTTATGTTACATAGATGGGAAGAGTTGTATCCTGGGCAAGTAATAAAAATAAAATTATTGCAAGTATAGCTGATATATTAGCCACGTAAGCAGCAATATATATCAATTATATCTGTAATAAAAAAGTTCTTCTATGGCAATTACTCAGGATACAACTATTACTGTTACTAATTTGGTTAGACATTTGTGAAGCTTATATACGTACATAACAATCCGAAGTATTTGTCAATAACAGATGCATATATAATTACAGGTACATAATCCACTTGGTGATGGACATTGCGGTTTTCGATCACTAGCTATAGCTATATTCAAAGAAGAGAAAAGATGGCAAGATGTCAAGACCGTGATGAAATCTCAATTGACTAAACAGCAACATTTCTACAGTAACGTTCTTGGATACAATACGAATCGGTTAATGAATGTTTTATCGTATATTCAACCAGAATGTTCGCAAGACCACTGGTTTTATTCACCAGAATGTGCACAACTGGCATCAGATGCGTTTAATATACCAATAGCAGTATATGGTATAGACTTAATGTCAAGTCTTTTTTTTTTGCCATTTGATCAAAAACCTGGGCGTCGCAAAAAACCTATTATACTGCATTGGCACGGACATGATCATATCGTATTTGTCAACCTCAAAGCAAATAGAAATATACAAAATCCGCCTTTAAATCCTCAGTATATTTCTATTTGCCGTCGCTTAGGTTTTTCAGAAGACTGGCTTTCTCTCTTTATATAGATTTGTGCTGTTTTTGCTTTTTATTTGATTGTTTCAAGAAATGTTGCTGCTGCACAATTAATTCAACTAATTTTAGCTTTACAATTTAATACGTATCAGTTATTGAAGTGGTTAGTAACATGGTAAATGTCACAAAATTAGGCACAACAAAAATCACGAATATGTGAATATATAACATGACGAAGTAAATAAAATAAAAAAATAATATAATGAAATCAAACTTTAGAGAATTACATATTTATTGAATTATATCTTAAGCAACATCTTTCATTATTTATTTATTAATTATTCAACAAGTAACAATTTGGCTCAGTATGTCTAATGAGTTTCTAGCAGTTCTACGAATGAATTAATAATTCCATCTCGTACTCTGACATACTTTTGCGAATATTGTAGCGTAATTAAGTTAGTATCAAAGCATTTGTACACTAAGATACTTTGAATACCTATTATATTAAAAGCCAAATGTTTAAAATAATTGAAAGTCGAAAGGTGATAGTATTCATGTACACCTAAATTACACTCTTAATAAAAAAATTATTCAAACGTTTAGTTTTCCGAAATTAGTTTTACAGTCCTGCAGTTTGTCGAAATTAAATTTTTTACTTATCGAAATTATTGGTTTTTTTTTATTGAATTGACGTACGCAATTATTGATGTACGCAAATAATTGTCGAATTTGAAGTGACCAATTAATGCTGTAATTTTATTGGTCAAAAAAAAATTTATGTACGTGATGTTGCACGAAACTGATGTACGCAAAGCATTACTCTTTTTCAAATCTGATAACCTCTGAATACTGACATAAACTTGTTCGCCATGCACATCAATTTTGTAAGGTTTAATATGAAATATTATATGTTTATATTACATTCCGATGTTTTATTATTTAGTGTGAGTTACCTATATCGTACTAATTTTGCAAACACTATTTTTTTAAATAAAGAAAATATGCATTTATTCTTAATAACTAGGCTGTATAATAAAATTATAAGTATTATAATAGCATATGCAATTAAGTATACTTTATATGCGTTTGCAAATCTTTATTATTTTTCTAATATATTCATATATGGTTAAAAAATAATCTTGGAAAAAGGAAAACAATGAAAGCTGTCACTATTGTTCTTCATGTTCTTTATGGACTACATAATCAAATCTATAAAATTCAAAAGTGAATTGTTGATGCTTGCTCAGTGGTTCATTTCTTGAGTGCAAGACAACCTCATCGTTATCATTAGTGCCTCTAGCCTGTGCAAGCACAATTAGGATTAGAACTTATTAATCTCAATTTGTTAAAAATAATTCAATAAATTATTCAAATTATACTTTAACGTCAAAAACAAGGCCAGAATTTATCAAGCTGATAGTATTATCCACCCTATTGTAAGACCAATTAAGAGCAGCATTTTTTTCTACTTGAATTAATGATGCACCTTTTGGTGAAAATATGAAGTTAGAAAAATAATAATAATAACACGAAAAACTGATTCACAAAGGATGGTTAACGAAGAGTAGGTAATAAGAATATATGAAACTAGGATGGTTAACGAAGAGTAGGTAATAAGAATATATGAAACTAGAATAATATAATATAATGTAAATTCACGAAAATGGATAAATGGATAGATAAGATCAAGGTCAACGACGAGTGCAATATTAACGATGTGTACAAGAGTGAATAACGATAGGTATAAAGTCAACAATGAGTATAAAATCAATCATAGTGAGGTCAATGATGTTATTAATCGATAAAATTTGTTAATTTGATGTATGTACCGATTGATGTATATACTGATTGATATACGTAAATAATTGTCGAATTTGAAGTAACTAATTAAATACTGGTATTTTATTGGTCAAAACGAATTGATGTACGTGATGTTGCACAAAACTGATGTATGCAAAGCATTACTCTTTGAAAAATTATAAACTATTAGATTCATATAGCAGAAATGCACTTGGTAGATTAATTTTTTATTAGATTTTAACATGTTATTAGTTTTAACAGAATTAGTTATGATAAATTTAACAGTAAATATTAAAAAAAAAAAATCAAATTAATATTGGTTAGATATCTATCAAAATTCTAATATATTACTTATAGCCAATAATTTATTAGATAAACATGGGGCTTGAGATGTTCAAAGAATTTATAACTTTGAGTACTCATAAGTAGGAACAGAATTTAAGTTGATTCGGAAATTTTAAAGTTAGGATTGGGTTTTTAGTATAATTATTCTGTTCTAATCTAAGTGGAGTCCGAACTCTATTATGATTACATTCCCAATGACAACATAATATAACCCTGATATAACGAACTCGATAAACCGAATTAGTCACTATAATAAAGAAGTTTTCTAGCTTAAATTATGAATTCATCATAATAAGGGGTATTCAATATATTTTGAAGCCTTGATACGTAGAACCAAACACCCCAGCTTCAGA